CAAGACAGTGGGTCTTCAGTTACTGATGTATGCACAGCCCCAGGGTAATCACCACACCATTTTCATCCTGGAAAGAAGACAGACTTGCTGCTGAAGTCTAGTCAGGGGTCCAAAATCCTTTTCTTCTGATGGATCTAATCTGAGCACAACCAAGACATCTAACAAGAAAGGCTTCTAACAAAACACAAAGATAGTGACTTTTCTTCTAAAGCAAGGAAATTCATTTTCACAGTAATGACGTCTCTAGAATATCATCTGTGAAGATGTGAGTTCAGTTTTTTCCTTAGCCTGTACGAGGTCAAACCCCCATCTTCTCAATTCCCAATTGCATTCTGAGCAACAGGTTGTAATGCATTTTGGAGCAAAGACACTTCTTTCTTTGTTAAGATGCTCCACAAGTTTTATCCAAACACCCTGTCACATAAAATTCATGTGTTTGGCCCAGGGACTATAACTAAGCTCCCTCATTCCAGGTAAATGCCTGGATCACGAGACTGCAACACACCCTTTCTTGCACAAGAAGTCCTTCTCTTCTAACCAGCTCTCCCCAGGCAATCTGTGAGTGTTTCATGAAGAGGCCATGAGTTACAAAAAGAGGAGGAAAGCATTCCAGTTTATTTATCAGCCCTAAGTCTTCTCCTTCCCCAGCACTCCAACTGTTATTGATTAGAAGGTGAGTAGTGATGTCTCCCACTTCCATGGCCATTTTATCATGGAAGGAAAGAATAAGGCTGCTCAGTTCTTTGAAAAAAACATCTGAATTTGTTCTTCAGAAGATGGTTTTAGGCTGTGAATGGGAAATGACAGAAGGGCCTTTCTGCTGCCTGTAATCAGATAACATAAACCCAAGAAAGGAAAAGCATTTGAGATTTTTTTTCATGCTTTGCATTTTGGTTCATAACTAAAGGGATGTTTTGTTTCCTTTTGGATGCTACTCTGCCTCTTATGAGATTTTTATGGGGAATTTGGGGACATACCTAAGATTTTGGAGTTCACTCTTAGGATCAGCTTCATAAAATGTAGTAAGCTTTGGGTACCAGGTGTTCAGTAAAATTGGCCCTAGGTGACTAATACTAATGTAAGATATCACACTGAATCAGTAGCAGAACAATTAAAAGATCCCAAATTTCCTGAACCTGCTTGTGCCCCTCACAGCAATAGTGCATGAAATTTATGAGACTCATTGTTTTCTGTAATGGTTACAACCAAGCCAGCAGCCAGTGACAAAATTAAATTAAAAGATCCAGACCTTGTCAGCTCGTTGTTCTTACAAAAGGAAATTCATATAGTAATATGCAGTCTAACTTCTCTGTAGATAGAAGCTGTATATACAAGTGTTCATGTTAACATCTGGAACAGGAGGAAGGCCTTTTTAGACATTATAAATATCAGCACTCATCACTATATGCAAGTAGATAATTAGGGTAATTATTCCCAATTAGCAGCTGCAAGCCCTGCAGATGGGAATTTTGGGGCCTGGTAACTATTGTAAGAAAGCATTTCTGCAAGCTACAAAGCCCTTTTCATGTTTTGGAAAAACATTTAATGACCCTCACACGTGCTGTTAAATATTTTTGTTAATATTTCAAAATCGTATAATACATCTGCTTTTCTTTGAAGGTATGTTGGGGTCTGAGGTGGCCTGGATTTGGAAAGATGTTCGCAAGCATTTAACCTATCAGCTAAAATAAATTATGAACCAGGCTGAACTGGGACTCAAATTTTGCTTCTAGGCTCAGTCCATGAGGAAAAACACTGTCAAGGGCCTTCTCATTGGCTTTTGAAGACAGCAAAAAGACTCCAGCTGTTTTCCTAGGCTCTGCATGAAACCTTCTGGGAGAACACATTGTCAGACTTACTTGCCAGGCTCCAGAAGTATTTTCCCTGTGTTCATTGTATTCTGATCCTTTGAGTGGCTCAAGGGTAAAAAAATACACGCTTTAATTGTGAATAATGTTTTTCAATTAAAAATGCTTCTGCAATAGTCAACGAGTCGCTCTAATCAGAAAGGGATCACAGAATCACAGAATGTTAGGGATTGGAAGGGACCTCGAAAGATCATCCAGTCCAATCCCCCTGCCAGAGCAGGAACCTAAATGAGATCACACAGGAAGGTGTCCAGGTGGGTCTTGAATGTCTCCAGAGAAGGAGACTCCACAACCTCCCTGAGCAGCCTGTTCCAGTGCTCCGTCACCCTCACTGTAAAGAAGTCTCTTCTCAAGTTTAAGCAGAACCTCCTGTGTTCCAGCTCACACCCACTGGCCCTTGTCCTACCATTGGCTGTCACTGAGAAGAGCCTGGCTCCATCCTCATGACATTCGCCCTTTACATATTTATAAACATTAATGAGGTCAATGATTCTTGGTGCATTTGTGTGTACTGTGAGTACATCAGAAGCACAAATGGAGCAGGGCCTCTTCAGGTTTTAGCTTTTATGTGAATTCATTTAAATTATGAATTCAGAAAGCAAAAGAAGTGTAATCAACAAAAAAGTAAGACATTTAACTGTAGGATTTGTGCTCATGAAGTTCCTTATCACAGTGAAGAAACTTAACTTTTTAGATACTTTAATGTAAAAAAACAGCCATTCCTATCTTTTAAAGTAAGATTTCAACTTCAATCAACACATAAGCCTGTGTTTACTCATTTGAATACAGTCCTTATCTAGTTATTTGAATATGGAATTTCAGACAAAAGAAAATTGAGAAACCAATAATTTTTTGCATTTGAGTAAGTAAAAGGTTATTGATCAGTGTCTTTTTAAGGAAAAAGGAAGGAAAGACATTTCAAGACAAAATAATTATTCTATTAAAAAGTTCTGAGGTTTTTTTAAAAATACTATTAAGACTGAACATAATAATTCAGCTTTAGTCCAGAAAATTCAACAGTATAGCATGCAGTGAGCCCATGTAGATGCCAATAAATGTTTTTTCAGCATTTGGAGTTTGTTTTTAGCAATGCTGACACACAAGTAATAAAGAAGATTTAAAAGTGAGAGCATGTTTGTATGATATAAATTAATTTTTCTTAATATAGCTCTCTAATTCAGTTAATATGTTACAGTTAATAGTGTTTCCTGCTGTAGATTAAAATAAATTTTTAAAAAAAGCTTAAGAAAATATGTTTATTTTTTATATTTTAGGAGTCTAGCTATTACAACTGTCACTACATGGAAGTCTTTTCTAGAAGACTTTTTGGTCTCCTAGAATCTCAAAATACCTTCTTCCAACGTCGATCTCATACATACTAGGTCTTAGAAAAGAAATGAGGATGATGTATCACATTTACAGGCTTCAAGTTTGGGAAGATTTTTCATGCTGACTTTCCAAACACCATGCAAAGCTGACTAAGTTTGTTTCTTTGGATGATCTAACCCATATTTCATTTAGATTCTTTCTCTGTCCTATTGCTTCCTATAAAAATATAACTCATAGGTTTTTTCTCTGATATCTGTCTCTTTTTTCTGATTTGTGTGATTTCTTTCATCTCTTCTTATCTGACTTCAGTCTCTTTTTTTTTCTCTCCTGAGTTTGTTTCTTTACTTTAATATCTCTGTCTTTACTTGTTCATCCTCTTTTAAAACTTCATTTCTATTTTAATCCCTTTTTGGGACTCAAAGCACCACATCTGTTCACCTAGTCTGTGGCTAGCTCATGTATCTTGAAAGGGCAGCAAAGATGACAGAAAGACCTTGTTAGTTATTTAAATCTGATCTCCAAAACTACTGAAACCAATGGAAGCATTTGCTTCAGCTCCACAGTGAACTCTGTCTGTAGAAGGTCTCCAATATGTTTTACTTGAAAGTCTTTATTGGACATTCTTCTTTGCAGAAACTCCTTAATATATGTTTAACTGGAAGTTCAGATTTATAGTATATTGGTAAATAATACCATTGACAAACTGCTTAATATATATGAAGTCATTATGTTCACGAAGGATTTGATGCTGCCAAATGCATCAGCCCTGGTCCACTGATGTATTCTGTCACATCCTTCTTTTTCATTATGAGTCATTATAATGGATTTCAGAGAGTTGCTTATATCCTTTAAGTTAAGTAAATGCTTAAGTGTGTTTCTGGATTAGGACCAGAGGACTCAGCACCTTGGAAGATTAAACAAAAAGCAAAGAATCAGCAATACTGGCAGAGACAGGCTTGCTGAGTTTATCCATATGTCTTAAAACAAGGCTGATTTCACTTTGGATTTGAAAATCTACTCCTACTCAATTCTCTGCCAATTTGTGGTGCAGAGAGATATCTGTCCACCAGCTGTGGATTATCTGACTACTAATCTTATTATTTGAAAAACAACCTTAACTTCATGAAAGCAGCCTCAATGAAATGTATTAATAATTAACTTTGCTATGTTCCTGATATGTTGCAGCCTTTAGGAACTATTTTGCAGTTTCTAAATAAGAAAAAAATCAAATTACCACATATGTTTTTGGGTTTTGGTTTTGGTTTTTTTTTTAATAGAAGTTTGCCCTAAATCTGAATCTTACCCATTTATGCCAAAATCACAGCTTAGTTTAACTTATATACTTCATTCACCTTCCTGAAGAGCAGCCAAAGCCCCATCTCAGGGGATTTGGTAGAAGATTCTGAAGTGCTCAGCTTTCGATGAGTTTTAGGTCTGAGACACCTGATCAACTTACTGTTTATCAGTTGAAAATCTGTGTGCAAACTTTTAAGAGGCTGGGCTAAGCTAAACTACTTCCTGCAATTTATAACATGTCTACAAATAGATATTGGAACTCAGCTCACAAACCATTACTTGGTTGTTCCTTAGGTTCCGACATTTATAAACTGAAAATTTTCCAGTCTTTAAGTTGTAATTAAATTAATTTAGAGACCTTAGAAATTTATTTCTAAGTGATCTGTTTCTGAAGAATAAAAATTTTTTGCCTTGTCTTTGTAAAATGAAAAAATTAAGGAAGTATTTAAATAAATATATTAAAAGAATAATGCACATTTCACATGTGTGTTTTATGGTCTCCATTAGGTACCTCAGGATGAATGGGCAGGATACCCAGCTGGTGGGAAAGATGAAGAGATCCCCTGCAGAAGAATGAGAAGTGGGAGCTATATTAAGGCCATGGGAGATGAAGAAAGTGGAGACTCTGATACTAGTCCCAAGACATCACCAAAATTAACAGTTCGACCAGAGTCATTATTAAAATCCATTGGACAAAGACCACTGGGAGATCATCAAAAGTAAGTTTCACTAGACCATGTTTTAACCTTTCTGAAAAATGCCATGGCTTGGGTAATTTTTCTTTCTGTCTTACTGATAGTGGTCAGTATCCATGAGAAAACACGTTACTGTAGTTAAAAAGCTAACTTTTGTGTCTTTGTCTTAAATTAGCTACAGTTTCTTTTTATTACTGGATGAAAAACTGTCATCTTCCTCCATCCACGTAACAAACCTGCTACTTCAGAAAGAGTTTGTTATGTTTGCAAAAGGAGAATGATCCATATTTTTATCAAAAGTTTAAAATTCAGAATATTTCCTTTTTAGAAGGATTATTTTATATTATAATTCTTTGTTATTTCACTGCTTTCTCTGAAACAGAAAAGATACTCTGTTCTGTACTAGGTATAATAACAAATACATATTTGTATCATGTATTTGGCATCTTACACCCTTTTTATCAGTGCAGTGCTTTATATATCAGCTATACTCTGTCAAATGCATTTAAACATACTGTGGAGAGTTTTGTTTGACTGGTTTTGGTTATTTTTTCATTCATACTACCTACAATATGGCCTATT